CAGATACATCAATCATTCACTAGTCTAGCAAAAACTAGTTAAAAGACTTTGGGGTTTAAATATACTTTGATATGTTGGTAATGGTTAGAACCCTTGTCCCTTGTTCTCATATTCAGGAGAATTTCCCTCATTTCCTGTTCTTGCCACGATAGGAAGTGAGAGTAAATGTCTCTAACATGGACACACGGGCAAAGAAACAATTTGTTATTAGTAGAATTAGGGAAGGCTAGACCCTGAGTTATCTTTTAATTGGTGTCTGTTTCTCCATTTCTGCTTGTCCCAGTGACAATTTTGTCACCAAAAGAGGAAGTGGGGGAAAATCACCCCAATAGAATAGAGGCAGCAAAAAAAAAAAAAGTACTGGCATTCTAAATCTTCCCTACTCAATACAAAACTAAAAAAAGAAAAATATGGTTTTGTCTGGAGATACATTATCCCTGTAGCTACAATATTATATAAATAATGTATGACTATTATTGTTATTTTTCCTATGGTATTGACTATCCCTGTTTTCCAGTGGAATGAATGGGGAGGGACCGGATTATAACAAAGGCAGTGTTCATTCTTACTTGATACAGAGGAACTTGTTTTTCCGTAACAGCGAAAATAAGCAGAATATTATTCTCCACCAGCTTCTCAATCAGCTGACCAAGAGTCGGATATTCCTAAAGGAGAAATCAAACAAGACATTGTGTATTCTGGTGTGTATCAACTGGATTACCGATCGTATACTGAGGAAATGTTAACATGTCATTTGCAAGTCAGACAAGTTTGTTATTTTCGCATCTGCTGTTCTCTCAATAATGATATTTCTACCTAGAATGATAGGACACTAGATTGGAGATGCAAACTGAAATTTCCTTGGGCTGTGTATGGTCTACTTCTTCCTTTTTGTCCTTCCAGCAGTAGATTTTGTCACTCACTTCCTTGGGTAACAAAGACTGCACATCTATACTTAAGTGACATTTGTTTCCTCCCCCCCCCCCCTATGCTGCTATAAACTTACCCTAAATTATGCCTCTTGTTCTGATCATCTTCTTCTTTCCAGTAATTTTCAGGAGTCCCTCCAGCGCTGCTGCCAGTCTCTGATCCAGCGCTGACTGCTGTGTCTTCTGTGTCCCACAGAGTCTGTGCGGGTGCATGCTGCTGCATTGACTTACCCTGTGTCCCTCCTCTTCCACGGCCCAAGATCTCTACTGCGCATGCGCCCGCCCCATCATCCTTCACGGCCGCCTGAGAATCTTCAGAACTTCGGACAGGAGTGCGTGGCAGAGACACAGGTAAGTTTGTACCTTTTTGATAACTTAAAAAAAAAATGTTTTTGCATATATCTACTGCTTGTTAGCAGTAGATACCGTATTTGCCGGCGTATAAGACGTGTTTTTAGACCCAAAAACATCGTCCGAAAATCGGGGGTCGTCTTATACGCCGAGTCGTCTTATACGCCTGCAAATACGGTATATACAAAACCCCCCGAAGGTTTAATTGTACTTTAATCTCAGTTAAGAAAGTTAAAGTGACACTAAATTTAGGAGATAAGCCTTAAAAATGCATTCAAGTACCTTAACAAAATTGTATCTTATTTGTGTATCACTCTGCTGTAGAATCTCAAATCATCTCTGAATTGGTGCTGACACTGTCCTTCCTTCTGGAGGGTGGCTACTTATCTTCCCCATGGTCCCTGTGTGTGTTGTAAAGTAGCCACCGCTCCAAGCTCACTCCCATGATGGACTACAATCTCATGTTTAGCTTACTCATTTGTATTGAGATTGTAGTCCATCACACGAGTGAGCTTGAAGTCGAGTGATACACAAGTCGAGTGATACACAAATAAGAAACATTTTTGTTAAAAGAGTATTTTAATGTATTTTTAAGATATTTCACTCCTGAGTTTAGTGTCACTTTAAAAAAAGCTTTTCTTATACATGAGTGCATATTTTTACTACCTACAATATTGGAATGAACTACGTCAGTCACTAATTAACTCAATAATAATGTATTTTCTGATGAATATGTTAATTAGCAAAATAGAAAAATATAATTTTTCAATTAGGCAACTGACACTCACAATAAAAGCTAAAAACCGGCCCCTTACAAGACTAGCCAGTATAATCTGGCCCTCTGTTTAATCTGAACATAGGTAATTCAAAATTCAGCACTCAGTATGCTGATCTAACAGATATAACAAATGCATATAGAAGGTCCAGCAATGCCAGTACCAACTACCATTTCATGTGCTACAGCACTCTTCCTCGGGGTTGTGAGCTTGCCAAATTTCTAGACTTTGATGCCTTCGTGTTATCCAGGCTTGACATGAGAACAGTCAGAATATGTTAGTAAGGATGGGACTTGTTTCCAGGCTTATTAGGAGAAAGGAGATTGTAAGGGTGATATGGTGTTTTCTCTCCTAGAAAAGATGGCAACATCATTCTTCATTTCCACCTGGATGTGAAATTATTGAGTCAAAAGGAAGGGGAGTTCCAGACCTCTTTATACAGTATTTTAGGTGAAATATCATACAGGTACAAGTGTTGCTGTTTGGCAAAGCTACCTTTTCTGGTAGTACTTGCTTTTATTAAAGCCATGGAGCTTTTTATAAAATATTTGTATTACTTAATACATAACATAGGGTTTCCACAGCACTTTGAGGTATCTACAGAGATATCGGAGCAATAGCCTTGAGACTAGCAGTTTCTGATTGAAACCATCCAAAGAGGGATGAGTCACTGCTCTGACTTTTTCACATATGCATCTGAGCTATTGAGCTCTGTAAAAAAGAGGCTTTTTTATTTCACTTGCTAGCTGGATAGCTGCATAGTATAAATATGCAATAGCTCATATTTACCTGAATAAAAAATATATTTATTTTAACCCAAACCAAAGTTCTTTCACTAGTCGGCTCTACAAGTTTAAACAGAGTCCCGGCGGCAAAAGTCGCCGGGAGTCTGTTTAAACAGCCCCGATGCTGGCGACGTACACTGTACGTCGTCAGTCACGAAGGGGTTAAATTACAGAATTTCATTTTTTTTTAAAACAAAACTGGAATCCTTTGCAATATTTTGCTGAGTCCATTGCCAGCTTGCATCTAGACAGTCCATGCCTTAGGTAGTATAGCTGATTGTGGAGGTTTAATGATAACTTATTTGATGGCTAAATACACTGACAGTCCTGCATTGCCCCCCACCCCCACCGCACACACACGCACACCCCAATATGTATTACTGATAGGACAGTTAAACACACACAAAGTGGCATGTACCTGGACAGTTGACATGGAGTATTCATTATTGCTGTCTAGATGACACTGACCATCATTGGGTATCACAATACCAGCCAGTTTACTGTCCATACCATAGTGGGAATCAGCGTCTGTCACAAACACCAGCAAATGCATCGATCCGTTCCTCCATCCAATCCTGTCCTGAATTGCAAAGAATTATTATTAAAATAAAGCTCTGTTTGTGTAACATGAACATTTGGACAAAAGCCTCATAAAAACTCAAACATAAAATATGTTGTCTTTTAAACACGAAACAATCATTGGCTGCGTTGTTTACAGTTAAAGTCGTATTAAACTTACACTTTTTTGAAAAATGTATTTAGATCTAACAAATATCCATTGCCCAGCAAAGTTTTTTTTTACATTTTTGTCCAAGCACTTAGTGTTTCTGGACAGATGGCTCCAACTCTCTCAGCTCTGCTTCTCTGAACTTCCTGTCGATTACAAGATCACAAAAGGACAGAGCAGAGTCCAGCAGCCGTCCATCTACTAGCTTGGAGAAAGGAGGAATAAGGAAGAAGGAGTGGGGAGCAGATCATTGGCTTGCCTTGTGTCTGTGTGTTTGTGGAGACACACACATCTTACCAGCACACACAAGTGAGGCTCCATAGGACCCTGCAAGGGAAAGGAGCCACCCTAAAACAGGATATCTGGGCCAGTGCTTCGAGGACCAGCTGATTCTGCAAGAAGAAAGCTGATTCTGTAGGAAGAAAACTTTTAAACAACAAGGGCAGCGTCCATTGTAAGTGATTAATTCCTCATTAGAAATGGCTTAAATGCTTTTTACTTTAATAAACATTTAAGAAAAATAAGAGGGTGCCGTGCTGCATCCAATACTGCATGTAAATAATTAATGGACAAGCAGCAGAGACACTTCACCTGTTCCTTCCATTGGGGTGCAATCGTAGATTAACTCTACATTTTTGTGTCTGTAACAAGGTGAAGGTGGCGGGGCCTTCCCAGCTGGAGTATGGCCTTGGGTCTGTGAGAGGTGACTCATATGCAAAAGTGATTTGTAACTGCAGTTAAGTACCTTTTTTGTCTTGGATAGCCAAGGGAGGGGTAATTGCTCTCTGGGGCTCCTTTTAGGAGAATACTCTTCAATTTCTGTTCTGTCTGAGATAGGCTTTAAGGCTTTGTGAATGGTCACTTATCAGCCTGGTTCTTGGTCCCACCCTTTCCACCTCTTGTGTTTCCCAACTGCTCCTGTAATGGCATGGCCAGTTTCACTGGCCAGTAGGGAGGCTGGGAAAGTGGGAGGGCAGGGGCAAGCTAGACTTTAATAAGAAGTCAAGATTTATGCATACGTCCCAACTTTCTGAGATGGGAAAGAGGGACACCTTCCAACACAAAGTATTTAGGCAAGGGGCACACCCCTCTCACACCCCTAGTTATGCGATCCATTAAGAATGTATATGCCACAAATAATTGGTTGAACCCAGAATTATTTTTCACCATTATATTTCCTTTATACTGCTTTTTAGAAATAGCAAACAAGATAATCAAAAGATATGATCAAGGTTTTCATACAAAATTTGGTAGAATTTTAAAATTTTCATAGATATCTGTACATCAGACCAAAAAGAGGGACACTTAAGGGAGAAAGAGAGACAAAGGAAATTGGTTCCAAAAGATGGGCAGTTGGGAGCTAGGTATATGTATACATGTAGTGGCCTGAATCTTTTGATTAACAGGCTGGTTTGACTTCTCCTTGTGATTTTGTCATCAAATGCTTAACGTGGTCATACACTGTGCGAATTTCGGCCAGTTCTTGAGGAACTGATCGAAATTTGCACAGTGGGTGCCGCTGTGGGCACCCTTCCAGATGGGATACCTCACTCAGCTGATCGAGGGAACCGGTTAGAAAACCTTTGTACAAACAGAGCCGGCAGCCAATGAGCCAGAAGATACAGTGAGAATTCCTCGATCAACGCGCTCATATTGTTGATGGAGGTGGGTTGAGTGAAAAAAAATAAAGCAGTGTATGGGCAGCTTTAGTCTGAATCAATCTAGCTTGTGATAGCATTCCTTTAATGCATCCTAATAATCCATTTTAAAATTTTGATCAGTTGGCAAACTGTCCGTTCATTAAAGTTGCTTCAAATCACATAATGTCACTTAACAAAATGGCCGTCCCCACTCCAGTTTAGGAATTTACACAATTAAATAACTTACTTTACAGACAGTTGCTTGCATGATTGCATCAAATCCCCCCTCTGGAGTGTCGATATTTGCTGATATTGTCTGTTTCTTCACACTGTCATTAAAATCCGTTGTATTATAGGTCAGGGACAAAACATGCTTGTACCCAAAGGTTGGCAAACAAAATCCATATGAACTGCAAAATAAATAAATATATACATTAATCAAATTCCATAGAGATGAAGAATAGATGTACATTTTTATCTTCTTCATTATTATTAATGTAAGGGTAAAAGTTTGGCCCGTGTTCCTCAGATTTCACATAGGGAAAGTACACCAGAGGACTATATGACATGTGGAGCGGTGTGCTGCAATGCATGGAAGGTGATCCCCATTGTGCTATGGTTAAAAGGTTAAACAAGTACATTTGTGTGGTTGTGAGTCTAGTTTTGACTAAGTGATGTAACTGACTTGATTTTGAGATGTTAGCAGAGGTTGCTGTTTAAAACAGAACTAGCCAACAACCTTTTTTTCTCAAAGTTGAATGTCAGGTAGCCAATAAACCATTTTACAGCCAACACCTGGTTTCCTAAGATCCATAATTAAAGGCTCAGTCTACCTAGAAGTAATACTGTAGTTGTAGGTGCAGTCTGGTGGGCTGGGTCAGCCCCTGGCTTCCTATGTTTCTTGGCTATCTAAACAATAATTTCTCCCTACCATCATCTGAGACTGTCCTATTTAGTCAGCAGGAAAATTGTGCTTGTAAAGAGGCTCCCAGAAGATATGTTGACACATTATAAATGATCTCCAAGTTGTCTTTTTATCCTAATCAAACTTACTTTATATCCTTATGATTTCTAAGGACACTTTGCCGCTGATCTCCAAAGTTACCATACCCAAAAAAATAATCTTAGAGGACCATAATGTGCTCACACCCAGCTATGACATATACTTTCCCAAAAACAGGCAGTCACCAGGACAGGAGGTAAAGGGAAATCACTACAATGAGGACACAGACAGCCACTCATGATAGACATTGAAAACGTTAGAACATCTGTTGGGTTTTGAATTGCTTTCTCTGCCCCCCGTTGGGTGACTTTCTCTTAGTGACTACTGTCTATAGGACGGGAAGTGAGATTAACTTTCCCCAACAAGCATGTAGACAGCAATTGTTGATTGGAATCCCATTTTTTATGATTAGAAAATCTGAATCTGGTTTGCGGAAAAGGTGGAAATTTAGGCCTCATGCACGCTATGCAATTTGGGATCCCTGCGGGAGGAATCCAAGATCTCCTGTTTAAATGCAGCCACTGTCACCTGTTTAAGTTAATGATCAGGTGACATGGGCCGCATATGTAAGTGGCTGTCTGCATGAAATCATATGTGATATGTTTACAAGCAGTTTGGAATAGATCACTGTCCCTGGACGCATCTATTGTGTGTCCATCGACAATATCTACTATAAACTGCATGTAATCGTACCAGGTAAGAGTACATGCGAACTGCCGCTTACAGATGCGGCTGCCGTCACGCAGTCATTAACCTAAACCTGTGTTACTGCCACAGGAATCCCAAATTGCATATAAAAGCACATGCAGAAAACTAGGAACACTTCGACATGGAAATTTCTAGAGACCAAGCTATGCTATAGTTGTTGCATATATACTAGCCTTTCTAAATCTTTTTACCCAAAAGGAACCCCTAAAATAATCTTCAGGTCTCAGGAAACACTTTATAAAACTAATTTATCAGGGGTCAATGGGAAGAATGCCCCAGTTACATTGGTGGTTAGAGGGAAAAATGCTCCTCTTACAGTGGCGGTCAGAATGCCACCCTTAAAGTGACATTAAACCCTCAGATTTTTTAACATAAACCAATACTGTAATGTGTGCCTTACTGTAATCCATGGTAGTTTCCCTTTTCTTTGCTGTTCTTCCTTTTAAATCTGTATCTCTTCTCATGCTTGGGGAGAACTTCCCTTTGCAGCTAAGTGCCTCTTCCTGTAGTGCTGGCTCAGGTTGTGAACCTTCACACAGACACCATGTATCCATTTCATAGACAAGGCAGTCTGCTGCAAATCAGAAGTTCTGCCAAGCATGAGAAGAGATACAGATTTAAAAGGAAGAGCAGCAAAGAGAAGGGAAACAACCATGGATTACAGTAAGGCACACATTACACTATTGTTTTATGTTAAAAAATCTGAGGGTTTAATGTCACTGTAAGCTGGCCATACACCTATAGATTTTCTATTGATTTTCAGCCTATGGTCAGATGAAAAAGTGCAACAGACTCCTCCATCTACGCTAAACTGTGTGGATGGAGGAATCTCCCACTGGGCCAAGCTTCAGTATCTTGCTAGTTGGCCCTGCTGGCTCTCAAAATATCTGAACAATGCCTACATCCAATCAGATTGTTCAGGTATTTTAAGAGCCAGCGGGGCCGACTAGCAAGATACTGAAGCTTGGCACAGTGGGGGATTCCTCCAACCACACAGTTTAGCATAGATTGAGGAATCTGTTGCACTTTTCCTATCTGTGCAAAGGCTGATAGAAAAAAAATCTATAGAAAATCTATAAGTGTATGGCCAGCTTTACAGACAGCTAAAAAGATAATTGGTGTCATGCGCTGGCTTTGTCAAGTGACATTGGCCGTACAACTATGCAGGCATCAGGTCAATCAGCCACAGCTCAAGGAACCCCTAGTAACCTCTGGAGGAACCCTGGCTGAGGATGGCTGATACATACCAAAATGACGACACTGTAAATCATAATTAGTTCCAATAAAAACCTAATTGTATTCACATGTGAAAAAGTGTGTGAACTTAGGTTCTGTGTCATAGGAGAAAGAAAGTGATGTCATTTTGGCATCCAATGTGATATTCGATGTACCAATGCTGTCATTGTCCAGCAAGTCGCAGATGAGTAATACATTATACTGTGGAGTGACTACAATTAATTCCAGTCAGCACTTAGAGGAAAGATTCTGACTAAAAATGAGTAAGATACTTACGGGCAAGGGTTTTCAATTACTTTTGGAATAGTTATAATATACGGGGAAACTGGCTTCTCTACAAATGTCCCAAAGCCAAGGCGAAAGTTGCTGGTTAGCTTGGACATCTCTTGTGATAGAGTGGACCCCAACACCTGGATAGTCTTCAGATCATCTTTCATGGAGGCTGACAGGTCCATCAAGTAATATAAATCTACAGGGTAGTCTTCACTTTGACGCACATGGACTTGAAATGTTACTTCTTTTCCTGATGAATAGTCAGAATACATGAAATATTGTATAGTGACACTAAACACAACAAAGTACTGTATAATGAAACCTATGTAATAGAACAGGGGTAGTCAACCTCGGGACTCCAGCTAGATGAAAATACAAATTCCATCATGCCTTTGCCTCTGGAAGTCATGCCGGTGGTGGTCAGAGTCTTGCAATGCCTTATGAGACTTGTAGTTTGTCAACAGCTAGAGTGCTGACTTTGCCCACCCCTGAGAGGTCAGCAATACAAAACAACAAACTTCCTATTTACATCATTAAGTATGAGATTTACGGCCAGAGATGTATGTTTTCTCATTAGTGTCTGTCTTTTTCTCCCCTTCTTACACAGCTTTTTTTTTTATTTTCACTTCAGCTTAGGGTAGCACTTAGAAGGGTCTCCAACCCTACATCTGCTCTGCAAAAAAATCAGTGCTGTATTGCAATCTGTGTTCTGTACACTAGTCACCAGAAGGTGGGTGGAGTGTGGACAGCAGTAAAAAAACGGACAGAAGCTCTAACCCTACCCTTAAAATCTACTCATCATATAACCATTTTTCCGGCCAAAAAATTGCTGGGCAAAAGATTAGTAAAATGCTTGCGTTTAGACATGTACAAACATGTATGCATTTAAATGTGTAAACGGCTTGTTCCATTCCTCCAGTTCTGTTTTTAATTTAAATTTCTTGTTTGGACACCAGTGACGTATTTATGTGTAGGCTTACACACATATGCGCCTATAATCTGTGAGGCAGATTTTTTGATTTTGCGTTACAGATCTGAATGCAGAGCATGTTTACACACCTGTGTGCATGGCTCTATTGAAAACAATATACAGTATATACATATTCAGATCCATAACAAAAAACACTTTACATTGCATTTTTTATGGCTGTGTACATGGGGCCTTAAGTAGAACTAACGTTTCCCCAATAAAATACTCCAGCAGTAGATTGTTAATTAACTAGCAAGGGTCAACTGTAAATTAGCATCATCTAAAAAGCTAATTTATTATATGATTTTCATGCATGGACGTTCAGTTTATCTAACTTCCTGTCTGAGCACGCGCTTCTGCACGGCACTGTCCAGTTCCCCTTAGGGACTACCGGTGTTATAATTCAGTGCTCACTGACATCTATGGCAAAAGAGAAGAGTGACTAGGCAGCAAAAGGAGGAGGAAAAAGGGAGGGTGCAAAGAGGGTTTCTGCTGTTTGCTGACCCTCCCTCCAGGAGCTGCTGTCATTCTAAGCATAGAATGGACGGTTCGGAGGAACCTGCAATGTAGGAAAACTGCTTAATGTAGAACTGGTCAGTGCTTGCTGCGTTGACACGTCCTTCCTGTGGTTATCTCTTGGGAGTGAACATTTCAGTGGCTATGCTCCAAACTCCATGAAAGCATGGAGAAACAGCGTAGCCACTGGTAACCTAAAAGTGCTGATAACCTGTATTAAAACATTTTTCCCTGTGATCTGCAGCAAATGTCTAAGTGAAAACCTTAAAACCTTACAAACATTAGCTGAGCATTTATTTATTTTTTAACCAAGGGTTTAGTTACAGTAAGAATGAATGCTTACCTGGCCGCAATTTGAGTACTAGCTTCTGGGGGGTTATCTGTGTAACATCTGAACTGTTTGCTTGGGCTCCTTCAGTAAGTGGCTTACTCCTGTGTATTTCTACTTTAGATTCAGGGAATTCAATGTGACTTAGCAGGCAACCCTTTGATAAGAGAACCGCAGGTGTATCACATCGTGCAGTGACACCTAAATAATCCATAAAGTTCTAAAAAAATAAATAAATAAAACAGGTACATTATACGGCACAGACTTATATCAAGGACATATCAGTTTTACCGACTTGTTGTTGTTGTAAGCACATTGCATTGAGTTTATTAAATAATGACAGTGTTCATAATCCCCTCTATCTCTTTATTGTCCATAGCCATAGGGAATCACACCCTGAGATAAGTGATTTTCTGGTGTTATAAAGAACATAGAATCCTCAGCTGTTTGGTGGGCCGGCACTTCTCCAGGGCCCAGACACAAATATTGATTCACTTTTCATGTTTCCGTAAAGTCAGTTTTAATTGTGTTGCATCGTACAAATAATATCTTTTGTGAAATTGGACGTAGGACGTGAATCTGAGCGTTCAGAAATGGCTCAGTGAATTCCCCCCACTGTTTTTTCACCCCGTAGAGATTCATAGGAAGCCTAGCTGAAAAGTTATCACTGTGTGCTTTGATCTAGTGCAGGCTCCATGACTACCTGAACTCTTGTGATATACATAACAGCTCGGCTAAAATATCAAGTGTCTGCATACACAGTTTTTGCTAAAAACATTTATATAGATCAGGCAGAGACATGAATGAAAAATCATGGTGGGTGCAGAAATGTCCCCACAGCCTCCCAACAGAAAACATACATAACCTCCAGTTACCAGTATGAATGGGATCCAATAGAATGCAGTCGGGGTCTCACTTGTATCTGTGCTGGGTATTATGTGGTGAGAATCTCCACACTTTTTGATCTTACTGCAATAATAAGGAAGTACTATATCTTCATATTGGGATAGAACCAAAGGTCACCAGTGATGAGTGGGGGACCCGAACTCCAATGGCTTCCTGTGGGGAGTGTGGTGGTGGTGGGGGGTGTTTGTTATCCACAGAAAAACTAATATACTTAACTATACTTAACGTATCCCTTGCTTCCCCAAAAGCAAGTGTTCCTCCCCTCCATCCAATGATCCAGGTTGTGGACAGGCCTCAGACATGCTCAATTACAATGCAGGACTGCTGGTCCTGCATCGTACATCATGAAGACGGAGTGCCTGCAACCAATGGAGCAGCAGAGAGAATGGGCTAACGGGAACTGGTTGTGCAGCTGGCAGGAAGCCTGCAGGAGTTAGGGATAAGGTAAGTGTAGTTACTTTCTATGTGCTCACAAGACAAAATGAGCATTTAACCCTTGACGTATGGGGAAGCCCTAGTGCGAGGATCATTTTGTTCCCCAGAGTTCAGCTTTAAGGACCGTGGCCAGGCCATTGACATTCAAATATTGAGATATTCCTAACAAGCAATATATAAGCATTAAAACAAGCCCTCACTGACCTCTGAAGCTGCAGGCACTGTGGATCAATTCATCCTCAAACCTCACACAGCAAACCAGTAAAGTTATTCAAGTCTAGTCTCAGCACTTTTTTTTCTCTTCTCTCTTCCAGTGAACTTGCTTTGTTTCTGCATTAGAGATTAGGAGGCTGGCAGAGGGAAGCCAAGCTACAGAAAGAAAGTGAAAACTGGGAAGCTTCTGCAGCAAACTTTAAGGATTAATTATTCCACAGTGCCTGTAGCTTCAGAGGTCAGTTAGGGCATGTTTTAAAGTGTATTCTATTTAAATCCAGTGCACAACAGGGTTTACTGAAATGTCAGCAGAGCAGATTTCCTTATTATTTGCTTATTACTACCAGCTACCATCTAGCAGAAACTTTCTGAATCACTGATCTGTTACAAGTTTCTTAAAACATTTACAAAGCTTTCAGCAACCTTCAAACTGGTTTCTTTAAGCACTTCTATCACCCTTGGGTTCCACTCTGGGACCTTTGAACACTGACTTTAAGTGGAATGCTGGGTGTTGCTTTAAAGGAGTTGTTACCAGGCTTAAGGCAATGCTGAAGCTTGCGTAAATAATGTTGTAGCAACAGCATGTATGTTTATACAGTGAGAAGTAATTTTAGTGCCATCTGCAGTGATTTTAATAATAAAGGGATACTCTTGCTTTATTGCCTGTGCCATATTTTCAGTTCATCCAGTGCATTCAGCTAAATCCTAACTGACAGCGTGTTGAAAGGTATGAATAACTCTTCCTTCAACTCGGCATTAGAGCCTGACCCGGTCGAGCATGGGAATTCTGCCGTTTAACTGACTGAAGGATCACAGCCAACTTGTTGACTGGCTCTCAGGATTATCCTGGCCCTCAAATTCCATATTTTCTGCCATTCTAGCTAAATCTCTTGATATTCTCACCTTCTGAACTGCCTTCCATTGCCTTCCATCTTAGCATGCAGTGGATTTCATAAAAATGCAAAGATTTCTTGGATATTGACTGTTGTCTGGATCTGCTTAAAGTACAACTGCCATGAAGGAATTATACCACTGTGTGCTGACTTCTCCCTTTTTAAGAATGCTAGTTCCCTGGCTATCATGCTAAAGCTTTGGCCATTTAACATTGGCGGGAGGTGGCGGCCGGCCAAGCTGTGAGCCGGGAAGGGGAGGTGTGCTGTTAGTCAGGCGTCAATGAGATTCAGTGAAATACGACGAGGCAGCTGATGGCGATTCCAACAAAGGATTTTGCAGAATGTTTTGAACAGTGGAAGAGACGCTGGGAGAACTGGGTGAGGTCCCAAGGTGCCTACTTTGAGGACTCTTTTACACCAGACACATTGTGCTCCGGCCCTATTCTGGCAGAAACGCACTGGATTGTGTTGCAGCCGGCTCACTTTCTTGTGGGGCGGGAGGGGGCGTGGCTGTCCATTGAAGTGAATGGCACCATAGCCACGCCCTACCGCTGCAATGTGTTCGGCCGCACGGGTACATCACTGCCTGAGTTCCGTTCCAAAGAAATAGTGCTTACAGCATTTTTTGTGACCGGACTGGAGCGGAGCGCAATCATTGATGTGCCTTGTGTTCCTGTGCGGCCGATCGCATTGCGACCGGAGGGCGTGGCTGCGGTCCCATTCACTTCAATGCAGCACCATGCCCCCTCCCGCCCCACAACAAACTGAGCCAGCCGCAATGCGATCCAGTGCGTTCCAGCCACAATTGAGCCGGAAAGCACTGAGGATGGTGTGAACGAGGCCTGAAAGGGACTGAGGTGTCATTGTCCTATGTACAATGTATCTGTTATCTTCTTCAATAAAGGTCTCTATTTTTCATATTACTGTACATGGCTGGATCAGCGGTGACAGCTGACACTGGCACACATTCAGAACCTCCTGCATTTCACTAGAATATAAACCTAATCAATTGACCAGTTACCCTTGGATTGTCCAAAGTCAGCAAATTCCTTTTTTGAGCTCATGAATCACTAACTAATGTAGAGTTCTGGTCTAAGTAAAAAAAGCGGGATATTCTTTGAAGCCGAAGGCCAGGCTAAAAGATTCAGCCTTTCTCAATCCGACTATAGGTCCAGTATTTATGTAGAGCACACTTTTTATGCAATGCTTTATATGTGTAAATCCATTCACACACTTATTTCTTTCCTTGCAAGTGGGGAGCAGCTAACATGCACTGTAGGATTTAATCAGGGCTGTCCCTATAATGAGGCTGGTTGCCTCAGGCGGCATCTCATGAGTCAAGTGTATAAAGAGAACCGAGGAAGACAGACTATAGCTATGAGCAATCACAAACATTTGTTTATGGAAATTCTTCCACAAGTGCCTTTCTGTGCCCATACACACTAATATTTATATTTTTATCACAGTAAGGAGCCGTTCACACTGTGACGCTGTGGTAGCATGTGCATTACCGCGGACTTTACCACAATGCGTGGCAAAACATGCTAAATGTAAAGCCATTGATTTAAATGGTACCACACTGCAGCAACGCATTTTCACGTCCATTTTATGCAGGTGTGAACGAGCCCTAGGACCTTGTGGATGGGCAAATGCAGCTTGATTTCAGATGCATTACGTTTGTATTTCAGATCAATGTGAGACACTTCTGAGATCAATCAGACTTCACTGACAGGTGCAATTGACTTGCAGTACAGTAGACCTCATTCTAAGCTGCATCAACCTGCGTCAAGCTGTTTTTGAATTCCTATTCTCTTATATGTGGAGAGAAGCAGTTCTGGCGCACACAAAAGCCATTGAGCAAACGCTCTATGATGGATTGTTGTTTTTTTTTTAAATTTGAATTGGGATTTTATTATGTTGCCCGTTTAACTGTAAACATTGTGATTAGGTAGTCAGTATACTTGCAGGGCTAATGTCCGGGGTTCAATGCCCACTAGGGCCAATGTCTAAATGGAGGTTATTCTCACTGTTTGTGTGTTTTTTTGTGGTTAGCTTCCCCCCAAATTGGGTTAGCATATGACCTGATAGTGACATTACTGTATATGGTAAGATTTATTTTATTACTGTACATCGTCTTTAACGAAAATGACTACCTCTGCCTTGCTGTACACCCCTTTTTCACATACCTGGGATTTGCCCCAAGCTACACAATCACTGCAGGCTTAGCTCATGGCAAAGGTAATATTTGTGGGTATTACACTTCTCTGCCTCTTTCCTTTTTTCTTCCTCTCTCTTAGACGCAAAGCCCTCAAGAGTCTTAGGTCTCCTGAAGCTACATTATTTTATAGTTTTCACTGAGTTAGTATTGTTACATTAAATTGTACTTGTGAACTTATCCTCTGTATGCACATATTATTCCTGTGCTTTATGTATGGAGTGGTGGAGACTATGGCCATTAAAGTGAACCTGTAGCTTATTCTATAGAGAAAAGGGAGCTATACTTGCCCTCCTCTCTCTCTCACATTGATCACTATGGCAAAGCACAAGGTACACTCTTAAGCATATACAGTAATAAGTGTGTAGAGATATAAGGGAATATTTCTATGTAGATTGTACTTTGATGTGAAATGTGTTGGCTCATATAAATAAATGAATGCAGCTTCTTTCATTCTGTTACCAATCATGCAGGATTACCTTTTGGGAACACCAAGCGCAGTGCGGTCCTGATTTCAGGCAGTCTCCACAAGTCATTGTACTTCCCAGAGAACAAGTGCCTAAACTCAAGAGAGATGGAGATCAGTATCAGTACTTGTGCCATAGAACATGTGTCACAGAACATGATCCTATAGAAAAGTTCATTTCTACGTGAAAAGAAATCTAGATGGTCATGAAACATGGAGATTGTAACATTATCCAAGCAACATCTTTAAAATTGAACAACAATATTATCCTAAACAAATATAAAGATTCACTGAAGATGACATAAGATACAGATGGAAGATTCTGTCCGCAGTCTAAAGGTGTCATAGATATGGCATGACTGTCTCTCAGACTGGCTGCTTTTGGGGGAACCTTTGACAGTCCCACATGACCATTCTCAGGGTAGGAAAAGGTCGGACAGCTTAGAGGACATGGTGCAATGGTTAGTCTTTCTTGTTTCTATAGCTTAAACAGAAACTTTCTCAAACACAAAGCTGGGTCGGCAGATAATGTGAGCTTGTCATATCATGTTGGTATGTTCTGATTTCTAATGTCTATGACAAGCTTGAAGCCAAGTGGGAACTATTTGCACCTATAGTTCCAGACCAAACATAGGTAAGCTAGAATCACTTATCATCTGCAGTGGAAAGCCAGGGCTATTTTTCCGACATTTACAGCTTAACAGAAGATGTGAAAATTGGTTCAGAAGACGAAAACAAATCAGAAATAATCTTTACAAATAGTATTTTTTAAAGCAGAACTTAAAAAAAGTATTAACCACTTGAAGACCAGGTGTATAGACCCCCTTCCTGGCCAGGCCATTTTTCAGTATTCAGCGTTGCGGTACTTTGACTAACATTTATTCGGTCATGCAACGCTGTGCTGAAATGAATTTCATACCATTTTTTGGGGACAGATAGAGCTTTCTTTTGGTGGTATTTATTCACCAATGGAGTTTTTAATTTTTTTCTATATTTCAGAAAATATAGTGAAAATTTTGAAAAATGTTACAATTATTATTACCCAATTTTTTGGTAAAATATAAAAGACGGGGTCACGTCGGGTAAATAGACACCAAACATGTCAAGCTTAAAAATTGCACGCACCCGCGAAATCTAAAAAAACTACAATACCCAAAATTGACCATAGGCGACGCTTTAAAAGCTTTTACCGCTCATCAGTTTAGTGTTATCAGTGATTGATGGCCCTAGAATTATTGCTCTCACTGCAACGTTCATGGCGATATGTAACATGTGCGGCGTAATGGGCGCAATCATCGTTTTTGCAGGTATGCGCACCTGACGCATGTTTGCATGCGTGTATGTATGGGTGGGGGCATTTAAAAATGTTTTTGTTTTTTTAAATTCTATTTTATGTGTGACTTTAAGTTTATTTTGGAAACTTTGTTTTTTTTTCCCTGTTTTTTTTTTTCTTCACTTAACTTTATTGCTATCACATAGGGGGCTAGGAAACCCCTCTATGTGATAGCAAAAGATGTGGCAGGTCCTCTTTATGGAGACATCAGGGGTCTCCACCGTCTGAAGCTGGAGAGTGACACAAGAATGCGGAAGTTATGTAATATACATCACTTCCGCATTGTGGCAGCAGAGAGGGAACCGGAGGGAGCTCGTGTACCGAGCTCCCTCTGATCCCCTGTGACAGAGGCCGTATGCTGGTCCCGGGCTCGCACCGGGCACAGCTGAAGGGGTGACACGGGCCGGCAGCTCATACAAGCAATCCGCCGGCTCTGTAGGCCGGCGGATCACTTGTATGTTAACAGGCATCGGTGCCTGTTTTTAAATCGCCGGCGTTTCCTGCTCGAGCGCGCCCTGCTCAGATCTATAGACCTGAGGTGGTTAAACTCTCAAACTTTTTTCAACAATGAACCCAGATTAAACAAATACACTACGCATTGCCCAGCAAAGTATTTCTTCAGATTTTTGCCCAAGCACTTACAGTCATCATGTTTCTGAACAACTCCAACAATCTTAGCTCGACTTCCCTAAACTTCCTGTCCAGTACAAGATCACAAGGGACAGAGGAGTCTCCAGCAGCTGTGGATCTACTAGCTTGGAGATGGGACAGAGGGGGCGGGAGGAGCAGAAAATTGGTTTGCCTTAATGTGTCTGTGTTTTTGTGGACACACACACAGCTTACTAGCACACACAAGGTGGCTCCATAGAGCCCTGCAAGGGAAAGGAGCCACCCTAAAACAGGATATCAATGCTTAGGGTACCAGCTGGTTCTGCAGAGAGCTATCATTTTTAAACATCAAGGAGCAGCATCCACTGTAAGTGATTTCATCAGCATTTGAAATAGCTTAAAACTGTTTTCACTTTAGGAATTTTTTAATGCCAACTCATAGACACTGCGAGTTACAAATTGTGCATGCATGGATACTTGCAAATCAATTTTACCTTGTATTATCCATTTATTTCATACTATGCATGTCCTATCTTGCCAAGTTTGTTCATCAGCATTAGAGGGAGGTGATGAAGATGGTGGTACCATCTGAGGGAAGTGATGTAATCTTTCCCTCATAGGAGGTTCTCTGTCGGAACTGCCTTCATTTTTTTACAATTTTCCCAGAGCATCATGACAGCATACGATGAGGAACACTTCACTACACACAGGATTTCATACAGTGTGTCAAAAAATTGAGTACTTTCAGTTGTCGAGAAATGTATACATATCCAGTCCCATGGGGTTGAAAGGACAGAGCCACTACCCATCGTATGCTGCCATGGAAAACCAGGTACTGCGTAATGTGAAGGATGGAAATCCCCATGATATAGTAGTCATGTGGCAATGACCTTGAAAATACAATCTATATTCCATGACCTAACTATACACTGGGCACTGTGTAAAAACCAATAAAAAAAGTGGGCAACACATTATTATAACCACTGGGTTCCTCTTGAGTTCCTGCCCACTGAACAAAACTGTACCAAATCTTTACACTCTAGCCAATGTATGTAATAACATTTACATTATTGCACAACAAACTTTCACTTTGTCTCCATGCAGGAAGAAGTGATAGCATTCACCTAATCTCTTTCTGTTTACCTGTGCCAAAACTCCTACACATTATTCTAATTACGGTGAACAAGTTTTTCTGGTGACCCCCATGCTACATCTATGGAACCACTGGTTTCCTCTTGAGTTCCTGCTCACTAAACATAACCCTACCAAATCTTTATACTCTATCCAATACATGTAATACTATTTCCATTATTGCACAACAACCTTTTACACTTTCACTTTGTCTCCATGCAGGCACAAAAGCGATAGCATTCACCTAATCTCTTTCAGTTTACCTGTGCCAAAACTCCTACACATTATTTTATTTACGGTGAGCACGTTTTTCTGGTGACCCCCTTGCTACATCTATGAAACCACTGGGTTCCTCTAGAGTTCCTGCCCACTGAACACCACTCCACCAAATCTTTACAATCTATTCAATGTATGTAATAACATTTCCATTATTGCACTACAACCTTTTACACTTTTACTTTGTTTCCCCGTGGGCACAAAGCGATAATATTCACCTATTCTATTTCCGTTTACCTGTGTTAAAACTCCTACAAGGGACAATCCAACCATATCACTAACCGAATCTTACTTCCTATAAGAAAAAAAAAATCCCAGAGGAAAAACCCTGAGCAGATATACAGCCAAACGGCATAAAAACAACGCGTTTCCTTCTGAACATGACTTCACCCTTTGTTTTACACGTGTGCTGTCCAGTAACACTACACCTGTCCACAGTTCTCAGGAAAATATGCCCACCACAAGAATGCAGCTTGCTCACAAGTACGTGTTCATAACATTTACAATGTAAACATTTCACCTTTCAACGCAAATAAGTGTCTTAACCACCGATGTACAGTGTGCCAGTTCTGTGACCACATGTAATCCTTTACAAAAACAAGACCTGGTTCATTTATAATACTCAAGCTGTAATCTGTCGGGGGAAGTCAAGGATATAAGCAATTCCAGGACCTTTGGGTCTACCAAACCTGTTCTAATGTTTTAAAGTGTACCTGTGACCAGGCTATGTTCCGTTTTTCATAGTATTTACAAGCAGTAAATGAGCTTTAAAACAAACTGTCATTGACCTCTGAAGCTGCAGGATTTGTTGAGCAATTATTCCTTATATTTCAAAGCAGAAGCTCTGAAATCATCAGAGTTGCTCTCTCAGCAGCTCAACTCCCCCTCCCAGCAGCCACTGAAAAGCCTTCCAATCTCTTCAAATCACCTTTGCAATTTAATGCCTGTTGACCAATCGAATGTTAACAAGAGAAATGCTATTGTTGTCAATGGGACCTGTTCACACCTGTACGTTGCCCTGGGAAGAATAGTATGTGCATTCTTCTGGCCCCATAGACGTCAATGGAAGCGCTCAATAGGTGCATGCAATGTGTGTTATGTGCGTTTTAGTGCATGACAACAAGGCCCTCTCCCTAGCAACCTCTGATTTATTTGACTTATGCTGGTCACACAGAACACATGAAAACACACTAAAACACACATCAACTCAAATTGCAGGGAAATACGGAAGTAAAGATGTGAACCTAACCTTAGGCAAACACAGGGCAGGTACTCTGGGAGGAGGGAGCAGGGTGAGTTGATCTCCTGAAAGTCTTGAAAACCTTCAGTACTTATGCTGTGAATTTTGAGGATGAATTGCTCCACAGTCCCTGCAGCTACATAGGTCAGTTACTGGTAGTTTTAAAGCTCGTTTACAGTTTATTAGCAATATGTAAATACCTAAATGTCCATAGCCTGCCCACAGGTTTACTTAAAGCAGAACTCCAAGAAAAAATATTATTAACCCTTGAAGTGGGGATACCCCTGCACTGCAAGGGTTAACTGCTCGTTTTGGCTTAGGGAGGAAAATAACAAAACTATATTCACCCAATCCTTGGAGCTGGCCTGCTGTGACAGTGCTCCCTCCAGCCTCTCTCCTCATATGCTGCAGCAATGGAATGTCCCTCTGCATCCTCACATTCTATACACTATGCATAGAACTTGATTATTTATGGGACCTTAGACTGCTACAGTAGAGGGGAGT